ATCTTCCTCAAAGATGGACCCTTCATAGCCTTCGTCATATTGGATGCCATTTCTTTAATCTTGTCTTCAGCTTCCATCCTTATGTTCTTATCCATCCTTACTTCTCGTTACGCTCAAGAAGATTTCCTGATATCATTACCCAAAAAGTTGATGATAGGTCTAACAACACTTTTTCTCTCTATAATAACCATGATGGTTGCCTTCGCCGTCAGCTTCTTCGTGTTATACCGTGACAATTTGATCTCGGTACCGATTATCATCAGTGTAGGTGCTGTAGTACCCATCTTTCTATACATGAAACTACAGTTTCCTCTTTTAGTGGATGCGTATCGCTCAACATATGGTAGTAGGTATCTCTTTGGGCCAAAAAAGCGTGTACTTTTCTATCGCAATCCTAGTTTCTAAATGTTGTCGTTGTGACCACTTTCAAGTTGTTCATTATGATCAACCGGTAAGCATTTACACAGTTAGAAAACCTTATCTCTCTTTTTTGATTTGGCCCCATGAAATCAACAACCCTTTCTGGTTGTGCTTCGACCAGGTGTTGCCATGGGTAGTTGACTGTTTTTCGTCTCAGAAAATCGGCACTGGTTTTGCTTTGACTGTTTCTTTGATGGCTTCAAAGCATTGACTCGGACTTGCTGGAGTGGTTCACGAGGGAGACGACAGAGAGGAGACATGATAGAGGCGGTGCGAAGGGGAAGGTTCGGGTGTGCTTTGCCTATTTCCTCGTCCCTGTGTTTGTGTTAGTTTGTACGGTGGTGCAGGGGTGCGTGCACGTGTTGTGGAAGGTGAAAGGGAGAAGCGAGATAAGGAGATGGTGGCTGCAACGAAGGGTTGGCCGGAGAAATGGATTGCGAAAGGAGGAGATCGGTGATATGTAAAGAGAGGACGTTTCAAATACAATCAGAACCAATATATTTTGTGAGGCCTTTAACCTTTAAGTGCAACATATATATTTTGTGAAGTCCTTGAATGCACTAATTACAACGTGGGGCTGGTCCGTTCTGGTCTGCTGCTTGAACATTTTTTTGTGCGGTCTAAACTGAACAAACCATCAAAAAATAATATATATATATATATATATATATATATATATTGTTTTCATGTTATAAGGGTTAACTTTATGGCATAATTAAAAAAAGTTTGTTCAAGACATCATGTTTTTTGTTTTCATTTCTCAATTAACCGCATCATTTAAATTAGCAAAATTTTGAATTCCGTCAAAAATCAAATTCCAAATTCCAAATCGTCATTCAATATTTGTTTAAATCCAATTATTGTTAGTAGATGTGTTTAACCTTTTTATCAACTTGGTCACCGTTAAGATTTTGATTAATGATTAAGCCGTTCTTATCTGCTAATTGAGATTATACATGCCATTGCCAACAAGTAGGCCCAAGTCCTTGTTAAAGCCTTCTGTCCATCCACTTCAGTCTGCTGCAGGCAGCAACCACTGAAACCTTGAGCTGCATGCAGCAAGACGACAACGACAACGACCACTCAGGAGGAAAAGTGGGTTTGCATAAAAGAAATGAATAAACAAAATAAACAATTCAGATTTTGTTTGGTTTGTAATTTGGAATTCAATTTTATATTTTATTTAAAAAATTGATTGGATTTAAAATCACAAGATTTCATTAAAATCCTACAAATACGATATTTAGACATCTCATGGGGGACATTGATATTTCATGGGATTTCGTAGAATTTGTTTATAATAATGTTGAAAACATTAGTTTTGTAATAATCAGTTACTAAAAATATAATTTAATTATTTTGATAAATTGTTCTTATAAACTATTTATAATAAATGGAATTTAGTTCCATTCTAAATCTCACACACCAAAGATCTCAAATCCCTCTAATTTCAAATCCTTCTGCAAAGTCCAAATAGTTAAAACTCTTTGTGTGAATCAATCTATCTATTATAGATTGAAAATATTTATGTTTCGAAAAGTTTTTTCATAGATGAAAGGACCATGTAGTTTAAATGAAAAACTTGACTTTTTACATAAAACTATTTTTATGTCATTAAACCACCACCAAACAGTTATTTATATTCATTGAATAGGCTATTAACAAACATGACATTAACACCTTTAATGCCATTGTATATTTTAAAAGATGTTTTATATATATATATATATATATATATGAGGCCATTCAAGGGAATAATTTGTGAGATCCAATATCAACCATAAATTAAAGATTAATTTAGAAAAATAATAATTTTAATAATTTTAACTTAAAATATTAATTAAAAACATTTTAGGAAAATATGTAAACTATCAAATAATAATAATGATATATAGTATAATAGAAACGAAGAAACAAACATAAAGGAGAAACAACGTAATGAAGATGATCACACAACAGAAGACACAAAACACAAGTAGATATTACAAGTTCCCATCACAAAAGATTACAGACATCTAACACTTGACAAACAAGCATTGCCTCCAAAAACCAGGACTTGGTAAAAGAGAAAAAACAACCATAAACCATGGCTGTCATAGCAGACTTAAAACATCTACCATGCCCAAATCCCACAAGCACAACCAAGGCATCACTACCTCATCAACTGCCGACCCATCGTAACCTTAAACACGCGAACCAACATGAAACGGTAACAGATACCTGACCACAACGACTAGGACCCGTTGCAAGAGGTTGTCTTCAAGAACCAGAACCAAGCATCAGGATTCTCAAGAAGATATAGCTGCCAAGAACAAAGGATCTCATCTGAGAGCCCAAAAATCCTTACAACAGTTGTTTTTTGTGTAAAAAACAACTGTAAAAAAAGAGGTATCAGCCAAATCCCTTGGAAAAAAGAGAGCTCAGAGCTGGATCGCAAAAAGACGCCCATTGCACGGACCTGTAAAAACCTGCACGACTACTGAAACCAACTTTAAGAACTAATTGATAACTGACTGATGATTATCTGATACGGATACCCCATAATAGCTTAAACGAGAATGTCACACTTCCAAATTTGCTCTTCCAGAAGACCAACCGCGTTACTGGTGATTCCACCACATTGCATGATGTTCAGACCAACGAGGGTTTCGCCCAACTTTTTCAAGAACGGTATGCTCTTGTTCGACACTTGACTGCATCTGGAGACGGAGAGAATCTGAAGATTCAGTTGTTCAGCACAAGCCAAGGCTGCAATTGCGAAATCGGTGATTGCTGATTTGGAAACATCGAGTTCCCGAAGCAATAAGCAGTTTTCCGCAATGGCGACCACGCTTGCATCGGTGATCAATCTGCAACTGTCAAGATTCAATACCTCCAGTGTCCCACCATGGACCATAGAGATTTCTGAAACAATCTTGTCGGAAATGTTCACACAGCCGCTAAGATCGACCTTGGTTAGACCAGCCTCGGAGTTCTGAACGAGTGAAGTAAGACCCACATCTGTAATTCCGTGAAGCCCATTCAAAACCACATGCTCAAGCTGGTGGCAAACCCTACCCAACAAAGCCAAGCTAAAGTTTCCAAATCCAGGGCAGTTACGGATGGAGAACGATCTCAGTGAATTGCAAGGAGAAAAAGTCAAAGGAACCGTCATAGGCAAGTCCTTAATTCCTAAACACTTCGCCAAAGAGAGTGTCTTCAATTTACCACAATTTACAAGCAATCCGAAGATTCCAAGTTGTGTAATCTCGTTGCATTCTTCTAGTAAAAGTGTCTCTAGAGACACTGCGGCCTTAGCAAATGACACGATACCATTATCTGATACGAACCCAGATTTACGTACAGAAAATTCCTTCAAATTCGGACAGCCTCTGCCCACTGCTTTGAGCCCGAGATCAGTAACACCACCACAAGAGCTGATTATAAATGAATTCAACTTCTGCAAGCCTTGACCACTGCCCATAACCCAAAAGCCCTTTTCGGTTACGTTACGAAGACCACCTAAACTTAAGTCGGTCAATGCCATACCATAGTGTCCAATAACAGCAAGAGACACATCGCTGATGGTTAAACCGTAAAGCCTTACTTTCATCAAGGAACAAGTTGCTGATGAAACCAAACTAGAAATCCCTTGATCTCCAACTAGAATGCAGTTTTTGATTGAAATCGACTTCAAGTTAAGACAGCTTCGACCGATTGCTTGAAGGCCATCATTCCCAATATTCGAGCAAGATTCTATTGCTAGTGATGTCAGATTAGGACACTTGTTTGCAATGGCGAACAAAGATTTGTCGGAAATTTGAGGGCATTGAGAAAGATCAAGATTCTCCAACAGGGGACACTCATTAGCAATTTCGACAAGACCCTCGTCTCCAATCGAAGATAGATTCCACAAGGTAAGGGATGTAAGAGTAGGACAACCACGAGCAACGGCCTTGAGTCCACAATCCGTCACCTTACTAGCATTGTTTCCAAGAACAGCGAGTTGACTCAATCCTCCACGACTACCTGATCCAACACCAATAGCTGCAAGTCTAACGTCTGTAGCCTTCTTCCCTTTTAGAGACCTTGTGAGACACCCACCACTGTTATCATCTTCGACAATTTCCAGAGAGGAATAAAGTCCATCTTTCTTGATAAATGAGGCAGGGGCAACAGGCACAGCTACTTCAGGTGCTTCCGGTTGAGTCTTTAGGTCAAAACAGATCTCGTCTTTGCGAATGGTGCTTAATAGCATAAGCCAACGCTTCGAAACAGAAGCACATGCGCTTTTCTCTTGACTTCCAGATACCCGTCTGAAAATCTCGAAGAGACATTCATCGGGAAGGACATCAATGGTGGTCTGCTGCTTCTTGAACATTTCTCCACAGAACACAAAGGGAGCAGTGACTCGTGACCTCTTTCGAGGTGGGAAGTAGACGTCGACATGATGACCAAGGGACAAGAAGAGATTCGACTCTTCGGAATTCTGGTATTTTGGCATGCCATGGCAAAGAACATCTTCCCCTGAAAACCAATAAGGATGATCACATAAGTTCAACAAACACTAAAATTTTCAACCTTTTGAAGAAAAGAAGCAAACCCTAATTACAGATCCAAAAGGGTTGCTTAAAATCCTACATAAATCAAACATTTTTCTTGACTAACTACAAAAATCCCAAGATAAATTTCAAAATTACTTCTTTGTTTAATTATTTCTCTATCAGATCATACAAATCCACATAAATCAGGCATAACTAACACCAAATACATGAGTTCTCTTCTAAAGAAGAAAAAAAGCCTTGAAATTTAGGAACTTAAAAGATCAAGATATCCTCCATATCCACAATCAATCAACCATATTCTATTGTTCATAGTCTATAGAAGGATTTATCACATAATCATATGATTCTTATGCAAGTGTTCAGTATACCATCATAAAATTTCACTAAAATAATGAATCATCAATCGTTTCCAAGATGCGATCTTACACAAAACAGTCATAAAAAGTAGTAATCTCAAAAAACCCTCAATAACAAGATCATAAAAAGGTAAAAAAAATCGAAAATTGAACTAGAAAAATAATCAAATTAGGTTAAAAAAACACACCATAAAAATCGAAGTTAAAAGAGATCGATCATAAAGATACTTACCAAATAGCTTCTGCATGAGCCCGATTGAAGGAAAGCCGAAAGAAATCCGAGAGTTAAAACCCCAAAAAACCCTCGATCGAGAGCAAAAAACAGCAGATCAACGAAGAAGAAGAGAATCGAGAGAGGGATAAGCGAAGGATGCATCAAAATCTTGAAGAAATCATATGAGGAAAAGGGAAACCCAGATATGATTTTAGGGCAAAAAGAGGGGTTACGGTGAAAAACGAAACGTATGATAATTAGGCGTTTGATTGTGTGAATTGATTTATACAAACGAGGAAAGAGAGAGAAAGAGATGCAATGAATCCAACCCCCAAATGCTTTGTTTGTGTTCAATGTTTCTTCCTACTCCATTCATTTCCCTATCACGTACCCCACCCTCCCCTCCCAAGTGGTTCAAAAAATAAACAAATCAAATCATTTTAATCGATACTTTGTGCATTTAATACTTTGATTTTTGTATTTTAATTATTTCAAAGTGCTGGTGAAAAGGATTTTTCAAACAACAACTAAAATATGGTGCACCATACACTTCAATTTCACTTGGAATTTAATAATGTATAAATAAGAAAGTGGTAATTATTTGAAAAATAAATAAGTGATTATAGTTTTCTTCTGGTCGATATTCACGGCTTTAACCGTCAAGTACTGGATAATTCTTCATATGATTATGCGAAAGATAGAGAGGTGGTTTCATAACTTTAACAAATATACGACAAACGAGTTCATATGTGAATCCATATATGAACACGTTAATTAGTTCACATGTGAATTATTTTAACTGATTCATATATAAACCAACATATTCACATGTGAATCAGTTAATTAGTTCATATGTGAATCAGTTAATTAGTTTATATGTGAATCACACGGATTCATATGTGAATCAGTTAAAATAGTTCATATGTGAATTACACGAGTTCACATATGAACATGTAGTTCATATGTGAATCATGTAGGTTCACATATGAATTTATTTGCCGTCTATTTGTAAAAGTTATTAAACTACTCACCCCTCTATTTTCCGCATAGCTGCAATTTTTTACCAGTCAAATCCTATTTTAACTGTATGAAAGGTTATGATCACTTCTTTACTTTTCAAATTATTACCACTTCTCAAAATAATCTTTGACTATAAAGACACACACACACACACATCATGATTGTAATAAATAAACCGTCATCATTTTTTATAAATATCTCAATTATTTGGTTTATATAAATTATTAGAGACTCTAGAGATATATAAATTTTATTAATAAAAACAAAATTCGTAAATCACAATCAAGGGAAGTAAGAAATTAATTTCAGTTGATAATGACAGAAGATAGTTATAGGCACGATTCAAGCTTTTGAACTGATTCAGTTAAGAATTTTAAACCTAAAACAAACAAGAAAAGAAAAAAAAAAGTGTTAAAGGGCATAATGTTGGGACTGGTCCATGATTGATTTGGGTTTGATGAAAAGCCGATGTATAAAAGTTCGGATGTTTAAAGTTATTCGTGAAGCAATAATAGACTTAAAAAAACAAAATCAGACATGGTCGTGTTCAGTTCTAGTTTTACGCACCACAAACCATTTAAGAACCAAACCTTTTTTAAGCTATTTGGATCAAGCATCAAATGATCGAACCAATGACTCGTTTAGTTCTTGGGCAGCTTTAATAATTAAGAAAATTATGTATCAAAGTCAAAGTTCATCGGATGTTCACTTATTTTTGTCAACATATACGGATATAGTTCATCTATTTTAAGAAATACAATTTTTGTTTAACACATATTTAATAAGAATATTTTAATGGTAATCAGATATAAAACTATAAGTGAAACATATTAGTAAAAATAAACGTTAAAGGGTTAGTTTGTTTACCTCTTAATAGTTCTATTAAAATGTAGCATCTAAATTGTTAAGAGGTGAATCATGTTTGGTAAAATAAAGTTTATCTTTTAATGGTTCTAAAACCCTCTAAATGATTTTGTATCATGGGCCCCTCTTAACCATTCAACGTCTTAATTTCATTGTAAATAATTAGCAAACAATTATATTTCATTTTGCACTATATCATGAGAGCATCTTMATCATTCTGACCACTTAATCATTATGCATCAAACCATTCAGCAACTGTCAAACAGCTCTGAGACCAAAAACTTAGAAAAAGAAAATTAAAACATGTTATATTTTATCGACAGAAAAAAGTATATATTGTTTTCTATTTACGACGGACTTATCACCAGGTCTTGGTACGATGGTATCCAAGGTATTGGTTAAAACACACAACCAGAAGGTTATGGTATCAAACTTTCTCAATCAGCTATTTTTTTCTAAACCGAAACCAAATTGTTGCATATTGAAAATTGAGCTTTGACTGGCTTAAAGGAATTTTGTGACTGTCACAGTTCAGCCTTGCACCACTAATAACATGATACAATATCTATCTTTGTATACGACACATAAATAAGCTATTTGATGCTAAGGGGATGTTTACCAAACGATAATTGGGCAAACGTTTACTGATAAGAGTCACAACCCTCATTTACCTACACGGGCAAAATTTCAGCCATTAAATGACATAATAAGATTGTTGATAAGCGTCTCTTACCCAGTAAATGGTAACAGGGTAAGATTATCAGATCTTGTCATGCCTCATACTGGTGCCATGATCATCCAGTAAGACAAATGGTCCAATAATTGACCAGATCAGTGTTTTGTAAAAATGACCCTTAAGTGAAAGTGTTCCAAACACAAAAATGTGTATGTTAAGTGTAACTTCTTTATAGCAAGATAATAAATTCTATGATGCGTAACAATTTCAATCAGTAATAAACCATAATAAATACGACATGTAATCTCGATGACAAGAAAGTGCATAACGTTAAACAACTATAAGCCAAAAACAAATCTTGCAACATATCGTTAAAGTTGTTACATATTTAAGTTGAAAAAAAACCGATGTAAAAATGGAAAAGACTGGTAATATGAACTACGTATTTAAGTTGCAAACAATAACAATAAAATCTATAGCCAAACTAATTGTTAGTCCCGAAGGGAATAGCAATAGACATAAAGTAATTGTAGAAGGGGGGTTTGAATACAATTATACAGATTTTTTTCAGCTTTTTAATTCTTATTGATTTATATCAAGAATTAATACACACAGAAATACAAAAGATTGTTGCGGAAGATAGGAAAGKAAAACCTAACCTAAACAATCTTACAAGGAGAAGAACTTTCAAGAACAACACAGAGAGTTCTTGAAAGGAAATGAAGAACACTAAGAAGTTCTTCGCACACAGGAGAGCAAGGGAGTAGAAGAGAATAGCCGATTGCTTTTAGAATTCACTAAGTAATCTTGCAAAAGCCAGTTATGTGCATGGGAGATGCACACTGCCTTTTTATACTACCTTCAGCATTTAATGCATGGGGACACTTGTCACTTGAGGATAAGAAGGCAGAGGTTGACTTGACCAATGTTAATATCTCATTTTCATCGTACACAGCGTGCATACAACACAGTTCATGCAGAGACAAACTTTGCAGAGATATGGTCAGTCTGTAGGAAGATCTCCTTTGGATGGATATGTAGCTTCAAGCAGCTACTTACAAATCTTCGGTCCATGAAAATTTTCAATCTTCGGTCCATGAAGATTTTCAATCTTCGGTCCATGATCTTCAATCTTGAGTTCATGAAGATTTTCAATCTTTGGTCCATGATCTTCAATCTTGAGTTCATGAAGATTTTCAATCTTCGGTCTATGAAGATCTTCCTTCAATCGGCTTGTGGCTTCAAAATATTTTCAATATGCATTTCAGCTACTTCGGAGTCTTGGTGTGTATATTAGACAGTTGATCCACAACACCGCATCGGTGACCTTCTGTCTTCACATCGGCTAGTCTTCGATTTTGCCAATGGCTTTAAGTATGTACCAAAACACCAATATACAAAGAACCAATAACTACTAAGTGTTGCTAAGGTAGAGGAACAGATCAGTGGGTCATCACCAAATCAATAGGTGACCCAACACTAATTATCAATTGTTTTTCTATAAGAATACATCGAATTCATAAAAGTAATAGCTCCAAACAATAACAAACTATTGATCATGACAATACATCAGGACAATTAAATCAATAACTCAAATTTTCGTGAAACAAACGATAAAACTATCAAGTTGAATTCTAAAAGATCGATTTTTCTATTTAAAATCGAAACTGAACTAACTAAACCAGCTAAATTGGCTCGATCAGTTTTTTGATCTGACAGTTCGGCCTTACACACCCCTTAACTAGCTTGATAGTATATTCGCGTTAGCTCTTTAATTACCAGTTTTGATTACAAATGCAGGCCAAAGATCTAACATGTTAGATAATATATAAAAGTATTTTTGTTCAAAAGATAAGTTAACTAATATTATGTGGTCGCTTTTCAAACATTAAATTCACAATGCGACTGTTAAGCAGTTTCTTAATAACATGATAATAAATTGATGACGAAAACAATTTTGAACGATGATGGATCTTTAAAATATGAGTGACAATGTAGTATATGGTTTAAAACAATTTTATGTAGATTTTTTTGTAACAGAAAATCCGTCCATTACGTATTAAAGCTCCCAACAATCCTACGTACAAAACGACTAGTCATCGAAGTCTGTCTTATATCATTTTAATTTTAAAAACAAATATTTTATTAGAACGGTCTCTCTGTCTTTAACTGTTGAGAATTTCGGTGTTGTGATTACAATCACTTGAATAGTTCTTGGATCATGTATCTATTGCACTTTCAAAATACTATTTGACCCTTTTAGCCTTAGGTTTCACGAAATTAATATTGTGATAATCCAAGAATCACTCTCATTCTTAGGCAAAAACTCGAGCATAATACACACAATATATTTACAAGAGAGATCGATGGTTACGAGGTAGTTAAGTAGTTAATAGATAACAACTGCAAAATAGTTATAACTACTTGTGATAAATTTGAAACATATCGGAAGGTGACTCAGAAGCTCTAAATCAGAAAGATCATAAGCCGACTCAAAAGCTCTATGTCAAACGGATCAAAAGACTCACGAGCTCTGAGTCTTAACCCTTCTCAATCAGAAAGGACCATCTTTAGGGGCGTGGCCCCTTGGACCCCACAAGGGTACGTATGCCCCCGCCTTATAGTGATCAAAGGTAATAGGGGCAGGGTTTGTGAGTGTGTACTTCACATCTCCTAGCTCACGTTATAGTTGCCTTATCACCTAGTAGACCCATCGTAAATCATAATTACACTAAAATGTTTGATGACACTAAGAGCATTTCCAACAACAATTATGCTATATTTGCTCTCTCTTCTTCCTAATTTGGATATTTCTCCATTCTGTCCCTTATTTTTCTCTATCTTAGATAAGAATTTAACATAGATGTTGAAGTAAAATTTTACCTAAATCTCCAAAAATTTAAAATATTATGGCTGTTGGAGATGCTCTAAATTCTAAATTCACAATGATTTAGTTTGGTGATAAAAAAAAAACTAATTTTGATGTTTACTGCTTATTTTGGTTTGGGTTTGTTGTCAACCATCTAGAAGGTCGCAACATACCTGACTTGCCTCTCACATGATCATTATGTTGGGATAGGCAATATGGGTCGGTTCGGATTGCCGATTACAAACCCTTTTTGGACAAATGAGGCATGTCCGGTTCCATCTCAAAACCAATCAGAAACGAATTATTTTCAAACCAAGCTCAGGGGCAAACCCATCTAACTGAACACAACGTTTATAAACCCAAAATAATGTAGATTTTGTGGCTACATTTTCTCAGGATGAATTGATTTCTAAAAACTGTAATGAACCCCAGTTCTTAGGTTCAGACCAGCCGAAACAAACACAAACTCTGCACAACGATATCAACTAAATAATCATGTTGCAGTTGGCTGAAAAAAACATCGATCCCTTCATCTTGCAGCGATTCAGTCATACAATCCCTCTTCTTCCCAGACATCCACAAGAAAATTCACCATTTCCTGCATGATTTTGGAGTCATAAAAGAGTAATGCAGCAACCAAGATGGGTGATCATGGATATATCTCCCCATGTTGGAATTAGTATGGATTTTGTTGCCAAATTACCATAAAAAGATATTCGATTCGAGTGATTGTGTTCTTGAACCACCACACTTGGTTTCTCATTGTAAACAAACAATTGGTTTTTGTGAAATTACTGGAAAAACACAATAGTTTGCAAAAATTATCGATTTTGGACAAATCAAGGAAGTGAGGGCATTAGCGTATGTGCAATTTTTAGTCCAAAATCATTCTTTCTTGCAAAAGATGGTGTTTTTTTGCATTTTCATAAGAACGAGTGTGTTTACAACAAAAATTGTTCATAGTCTAGTTTGAGATTAAAGCTTGAAAAATAACTCATTAAAAAATATATGCATCTCTTTTCTAAGGAAATAGATAATAGGACATACAACACAGGAGGAAGACTTACTCGTAGAGGAACCGGCCGTGGAAAAGGCTTGTTGGTCCCAAGCAAATTATCATAAGTTGCTTTCCAACTACACAAACATATAACCATATGATGATATGATGTTCTTTCAGTAAATAATCCCAAGGGGGGGGGGGGGTAAGTTACCAAGGGTCAATGGCCCAATAGACCAGGAAGTCAAGCATTCAAACCGCACTAATGGCGAAGAACGTGTGTGAGTATTTGTGGTATATGAATATTAGGGTTAGGTTCAAGGGAAAACCACAAAAAAAAAATGAAAAACTGAGAAACACCTTGGTAACCGTTCATTTGGACGGTATGCAAATGTGCTAACAAGTAATGCGTAAGCAATTTGTCCGGTATGCACATGTGCATAACATGCACACTTGAATAAGCAAATTAACAAATTATTTAAGTTCTCACTTTATAGCAGGTTCTTGAGCTTTTTTGCGGTGGCCAGACACCTTCTCTCCAATCCATTGTTGCCTTGTCTGATTCCAAAGAAGACGACCTGCAAAAACAGCAAATCCAGGACCATCAAAACATGAAATTGGCAGACTATTTTTTTGTTTTATAGGTGACCATGGTTCTTGGGGTTTGGGCCAACTTGCGCGCACCTCGACTAATCTCATGGTACCGAAGATAACAGCCAGGAAAATTCCCAATGATCATAAGGAGACTAAATCTGGCGACCAGTGGAGAGGAGCCACAAGGCCTAGCCTTCATTTGACGGTTGAATTTGGCGACCAATGGAGAGGTGAGATTAGTATCCAGACAGGTAGGACAGAACAGTTGTTCAGCTTTCGTTAAGACAGAAATGGACATGACATAACACATAAAATGACCAATTTACCCCTAATGGGTTGTTTTTATCTTTTATTTGTTTTGATTAATTTATGTAATTATAATAAAATAAATATTTTTATAACAAAATATACCATATAGAAAGTTTTCATCAAGACGATTAAAATGACACCAAAATAAAAAAAAATTATGTAGCTTTCAATTTTTATTTTATACCTTTTCTATATTGTTTTATTATTATTAATATTCAATAAATTACATAAGATAACCAAAATATAGGAAACGTAAAAGTCTTGCCAAACATGGAACAGTAATCCCTGTTTTATTTTGTCTTGTCCAGTGTACCAAACGCACCCTTACGGTTGACTATTTTTTTGCCACTAGTATTGGTTGGCAAAACTAGTCCCCATCCCACACAAAGACCTCGTTTTTCAAATTTAAGTAGATGAAACACGATAGTCTAATAAATGTAAATGATTTTAAAAACTCACATTATTGAGTAACAGATGACATACCACGATTTACAAATTCAGGAGGATTGCTTCCGGAACTACAATGGCCATCTAGGGTCGGGTTTGAAAGGCTAACCGAAGAGGCACTTAATTGTGACTGAGCTGCACTATTATCCATCTCATATGTGCTGCTACTCCAAAAGTCTTGTACCATGCTAGCTTTATTTGTGGCTGAATCGTTTTTAGAAGCTCCAGTTGTCTTTTTACCAGTGGTCATAAATGGGACCTTAGGACATCCAAGACAACCTCTGCTCTGTTGCGAATAAGGTTTACAACCATAAAAATGATTAGGATAAACTAAAAAAAGTCTCAGCCTGATAACCAAAAAATGCTATTAATTGTTGACAAAGTACATATAATATTTCTATAAAAACCAGATTGTAAATATATTGGAGTATATTTATGATGGGGGATTGCTTTCTAATTGTTCTATGTTTGTAGCTTTAGAAGGTTATATACAGTACAGGCAGTTACATAAAGCCAAACTGGCATGCAGTTTTTGGTTACAGCCCCTTACTGTGTGCACGTAAAGCACCATAATGTGCCACGAAATGAGCAAACTCCCACGTCTTATTTCACTATTAACTTCAGCTTTCCAAATCAAATGCAATATGCATATAGAATATACAGACTGAAAGGAAAGAAAAAACTGCGAATTGCAGACAAACACGCAGATGAACCAATCATATGTTGGATAAAAAACTAACCCAAAGCGTTACCTTCTGATAGTGATTTTATCATCAAAGAGAATTTACAAGAAATGGTATACATATAGCAAAACAATAACATAGTTCTTTTTAAGAAAAGAAAACAAAGCAAAAGAGGATAATACGTTATAAGCTAATATAATTGAAACCCATGGCTAAGAACTCATTAAGCTTCCCACACAGATTTTGTTTATACCCATATCCACCCAAAAGAGTTCAATATAGATCATACATCTATATTATCAACCATACCTTGTGTCATTGTATAATTAGTAATCTAATTAATCGACTGTTTGAGGTTTTTGAGCAAACATGAAAAACTTACATGGAAAAGAGACCTGAGTTTATCCTTCAAGTTTTCCATCACCCAATGCATTAGAGCACAATAAGTTTCAGAAACCAGACAGAAAAAACTCTTTCCTACGAGTCTATGCAATTGACAGAATGAACATAAGTTCATATACATGCTCTCTTGTATAATTTCCTGATTCAGAACAAAACAATTTACGTATAGGGTATAGAAACACAATCTCTTCATCACAACAGGTTAAGCATGAACAAAAGATATATCACCCCAAAACCACATTTTCTTTGTTTAATTATTACTTTTGCTTACACAAGAAGCAAACCATCAGATTCCAAAAACAATAAAAAGTTAATCTTAAAGCCAACTACATAGGTAAAGCTATTTGGTTGTTAAATTAAACAACAAGGTAAAGAATATAAGAGATCAACCTCCTTTCAAACTAACCTTAATAAGACAACTGTTTGGAGAAGAACCAACATGAAAAGTCCCCAATTTTCTGGTTTATCCTCTAATCCACTAAGGGCCTGTCTGTTAGCAGCTTTATGAGCTTAATGAGGCCTGCAGCTTATTCGATCATCTACTCATAACTGTTTGGTGGTGGCTTATTAAGTAAGCTTCTAGGGGGAGATTTATGCAGAAAGCTAAGATTTTCCAAACTTGACCCTCCCAATTAAAAAACACACTCCTTCCATTCCATCTATGGAAAACCTCTCCCAAACAAAAACCTTCCCATTCTATATAGGATGATTAATTCATACAAACAACATGTCTTAATGGAAAAATGAATCATGATTACGTAAAACCCCTAGAATTACACATGTAAAGATAATAAAACTCCCCCTTCTCCCATGTTAATTAACACCTCCAGCCCTCACTTTTGCAGTACCTCTTCTGTCCATTTAAATCAATTTTGTTTCTTCAAATTATTATTTTTATAAATTGAACACACAAGCTACCAAATATCTAAGCAAGATAAAGTCATCGCGATTATATGTTACCAGAGGCAATACATCAGATAGCGAAAGTTCAATTTTTCGCCCAAAAATGGCGAGAGAGAAGAGACTAACCCCATGAATGCAAGAATTTGGAAGAATTAATAGCTGATTGATCTGAAAGTTCGCATCCAAATATCACAAATATAGAGTATCAAAGTAACGCAATGAATCGCCGAACAATAAATCGAGTAAGGGGTGAACAGTAAAACCTGCAAAATCACCACACACACACACACACAAATCAAACAGAAATCCCAAACTCTAATCCAATCATTCTTCACCGATTTCCAAGATTCGTAGATTCGTTTGACAAAATTAGAAATCGAATCGAGAGGAAGAGGCTTCGGACCTCTCGAAGAACATGGTTGCGATGGTTATCTCGGCTGCTGCAAAGCCATTAGCCATCCGCTTTTCTCACATCAAATTGAATAAATTACAAAAACATCCTTAAACTATCTGCTACTCTACATAATCACCCCCTTCTACTCCCTGAACCCATCTCATCCCTCATCATTTCATCTTGTATCCTCCTCAACCCTATTCTTTTTTTCCAAAAAAAACATAAATAATTAAACAGAAGGGTTACAAGTTGCAGTAGGTCAAAGCTCCAAACATTATCAAAGATAAGAACTATACGTAAATATTTGTTGTATATAATTCAAAAATATATAAATTATTAGCAATAAAATGTATATAACAAAAAAAAAAATGAAGCATGATCATAGGACCATGCACAGTAAGGACCGGTTATTGGCCTAACCCTAGTAAGGTCCTTTAAGACCGTCAATCATGAGACATTTACGATGTTAGGTCAAAAAGATCGGTTAAAGCATAACCCATAACTTATTTAAGATGAATTACACTACAATGGATTGGGATCATGAGCGATTAAGGGCTAGTTCTGAATATATCTAGACATCATCGATAGCCATCTAATCATGTCGGTATATTATACTGATACGTGTAGGTTTTTCCATATTTCGAGTGAGATTGTCTCAACAAAGTGAGTAGAAAACCTTTTAAAGGCGAATAGGATGATATAGATTGGTCTTTTTATGAGGCTATGTTAAGAGACTTGGAAAAGAAATCAATTCAGGAATCATTTTTCCCTTTAAGGTCCATTAATGTCGATTTTCCAAAATTCAAGGACTATTTCTGTAATTCACGAGATTGACAGCGTGTTTTTATAATATTTGGAAATTAAATCCCCATTTGACGTGAGTCCCACTTTTTATTATTTGTGTGACGAGAGAATTGATATTTGATAGCTAAAAAGACAAAGAGTCTCATAATCGAACTTTTCCACGTTGTTCCACTGATAAAATTAAAGATACTTTCGGTTATCAAAATGTTTTTGAATTAAATAAAATTTGTTAAAGAAATTTGACTTTGAAAAAATTATAATAAATTTTATCAAGTTTGATCACATCGGAATGTAATTTGTTAAAGGAATTTAAATCTATCTATTTGGTTTACGTAATGTAGCTTTTGAAATTAGAATGAAACATTGGTAAATGACCAAAATACCCTTTTCGAAAATTCTGAAACCGAAATCCAACTACTATCGTTAGACGATGGTAGTCATCGGTGGTTTAGACTGACAAAGGTCGGCGGTGGTTCAGACCATGGATGGTCGGCGGTGGTTCAAACGGATGGTCGGTGATGGTTGGCGGTAGTTCAGACCGTTGGTGGTTCAGAACAATGGTGGTCATCAGTGGTTTAAATCAAGTAGGAAATATGAGAATAATTGTCTTTTTGAGAAAATGGGATGTAATAAAATTGAATTCCTTCTCCGTTGTGATTGAATGACTAAAATCCATGAATGATGGAATGTGTAGAATTCAATTACATTCCATAAGTAAAACCAGATGATTTCAATTCTTCCGAATTCTATCATATAATCCTGCAAAATATATCAGATTTTTATTTATTTATTTGATACTTACATTCCCTCCTGATATTCATTTGATTGATGGATATGAATATAACATATGAATTTAAGACGGGTATTTTTATGCGAAAAGACGGATAAGAAAATAGAACTTGTGTCCACCAAGAGATTACCTAAAAAATGTAGACGAAACCTACAATCACATGATTTAGCATGATATTTGTAATCTTGGATTGATGATAAGAAAAAAAGGCCATCATTTTGAATGCGTCACTGTACCAGTCTCACGACCATCAGAGAAGAGATCATCAATAAGAAAACTTAATAAAATGGACGATCATTTTGCCTACCAAAAAGTCCTCGACCATACGTACACGAGATTAGTTCCACAAGAAGAGGAAATTGTAACGTAACAAAACAAGTAACCGGTAAACACGACAACGCAGCTATTGGGATCAGAATCCAATCCTTTCCCTGCCCAAACAAAAGATACAACGATGCACCGAATGCTATCATCATCGAGGTTGTGGACAGAAACAATGTCGCGAGACCCATTATTAGCCTCGAGGGTAACGTGAAGAGAAAATCTTGTTCCGCATAACGAGCAGTAAGGATGGATAAGAATAGTAGCAACGATGTGGTAGATGTGAAGAGCGAGATTGCGTCTGCTACAGCAAATATTAGGAAAGATAGTTCTTTTGCGTAAATTGGATGGCCTGTTTCGCCGTTGTTACCACCTGGTACTGTAATGGCTGCCGCGAAAACTATTGTTGTAATGAGTCCGGCGGTTACCGTATATGAATCGGCGGTCTTTTTCATCCATTCTTCACCATCTCTCACTAGTTTCTTGTGTTCTTTCGAGAAAAGCATCTCGGGTGTCTGCTCGAAGGAGTTCTTTTCGGTTTTGTACTTCGGATGAACAAATGCCTCTACTTCCTGCAGTTTCAAATTTGATTCAGACATACAAGCAATTATAAGTATGATCACAAATGAATGCAAGTAGCAGCAGCAAAGCCAATTTCTGTACTCAAACTTATAAACAAGCTTCATAACAAGGAAATCTTTTGAATTTTGTTTAACGTACTTTCAAATTCTTCATTTTGGTACCTCAGATGTACAGACCACACGGGTCATATATACGGAAAGAAAAAGAAATTTCTTACCTTAAACCATTGCAATTCCCGCTGCATTTGCAAAGCTGCGCCAGAAACAAGATTGAGTTTCTGTGGAGGTGCCAATTTTCCGGCCAGATGCAAGAGGTTATTGTTGTAGGAGTCCTTAAGGGTCTTGTGAAAATGCTTATGGTCACTCATTTGATACGTTAGATTGTAGACCTTTTCACACCGATGCAGTATAGCCAATTGGATCATGAAATGTCCGCTTTTATCGCTGTACCAAATTGCTTGCGGAAATGTATCAGCAATCTCCTGAACAACCTCATAAGCACCGTTGCTTGCAGCCTCAACGATGGGATTAGAATAATGGATGCTATTTGAATGGAGATTTAACGCGCTGATTTCTTGACACAAACATTTCACAAGTTCAAGAGCTTGATGATGGTCCAGTTTTATCTTCTGAATGTATGTAATACGTGGCACTAGATTCAAATAAAGATTCAAGAATTAGCCATTTTAAGTTGATTTATAGTTCAAGAAGGAATCATGATACTTACCCATCCTACCCACAACTTTCCAGATAACAAAACTGATCTCTTGAAGAACTACACCATAACGAAAGTTTCATTTTGTTAGAAACACGTAGAATTTACCCATTTGTGTAGTTAATTCTTTCGTTTTGTGAGATAAAATCAGACCCACGAAACAGATATAAAAACGAACGATTTCCATTGACGAAAAGTTTGTAGCAAACCTGAATTCAAGAAGTTCATCTCCCCCTGGTGCTTGTTTGAGTTTAAGTTCTCCAACTTCAGAGGAACATCTGCAATAAGGAACAAAACATACAAAAAGACTTACTTGTTTTGACCATTTAACATTATCCTAAAATGAAATCTTTATATGATGCAACACAAAATGAAACATTATGAAGGTTAAACGGCTAAAAGGAATAAAACATTACGTTTATAGATTAAGCTATCGAAGAAACTCAGGCGGCATCCGCTCTCAAAGGCATCTGCTTTTCTTGCTATAGCCATCAATGGAGCATCGACATTATCAGATGGTATTGTTGTAGCTAAATCAGGATAGCGAGTGACTAAATCGAGTGCAATATCTGTCAAAATAAAATACGGAAGAAAAAACAATTAACATTTCAGTCATGTTAGTTCGCTAGAGGGAAGTTCCGTTAGGAACCAAAATTGATTGAGACCACAGCATTCCACGTGTCCCTATTCAGGATGAATATTCATTGTGAAGTGTTATTCATCATGAATCACACATTCAGGATGAATATGTTATAACATTTATGATGGATAAAACTTTCATATTCTTGATGAATATGCTTTCATGCTGCGGGCAGTTTCCAGGTTCCTTATCAATTTTTGGTTCCTAACCGAACCTGCCCCTAGTTGGCTGCTACTACTTGTAACTAAGTTTGAAGGGACAGCTTCAAACTTGAGAACTGGGGAACCAGCTATTCTTGCTTTATTCACGATGACTCGTGATAGATATTCACGATGAAAATTATTAATTATAAAATAGATGATAAAAATTCATTATATCATGAATTATGAAAATGCATGATATTCATGAAGAATAATATTCATGATTACTGAATATTCATCATGAATAATAGATGAAATAGTTGGTTCCCAGGTTTTCAAAATATTTATGCTTACCAAAATATCCTGCAAAAATAACATTAGACAAAAGTGTAACGCCCATGTTGCCGATGAATGTATTAGGATATTGGTTGGCTTTCGTGACACCCAATAAATACAAGAATGTATCTTTATGAGAATTGATAAGAGCACGATGAATGGGCAGTAAGCCATCTACATCCTCGGCATACAACAACTTATGGTTTTTATTCACCAAGATCTTCACAGCCGTGGTGTTGCCAACAACAGCTGCAATGTGAAGAGGTGTGTATTTTTCCGAAGAAGTTAGCATTTTTACGAGTGCTTTAGGTGATATCTTCTCCACCAATTTCTCGACAAAGGTAATGCCTTGCTTCCCTGTCCCGACTGCAATGTGAAGAGCTGTGAATCCATATTTATTGATATTGGCTGTGACTGCTTCTTCATCTTGATCGATAAAATCTTGTGCATCTTCCCAGTCACCTCTAAGAGCGGCTTTATACAGCGGCAGGTATGCATTTATCTTCGTAGTTGTTTCTGTCAAACAATTGTTCAAAATGCCATTACGAAGAATAATATGTACGCATAGTAAAATCACACACACACACACACACACACACATATATATATATATATATATATATGGGCTATTTAGCTTAATGACCTTCAGATGCAGGCTTTGCAAAAAAAGACCCTCTAAGGTATTTCTAAGTTTTAACGGGGGCAAGGATGTTTAGAAGAGTGGCCAATTTTGAACCAAGAGAGAGTCAGATGAATTTAGGGGTAAGAATACATGGAAAGAACGGAGGCTGCAACAAATATTGAAAAGAAAGGGCCAAAATTTAGAAGAAGAGGGACTCCAAAAATATGGAATCTAAAGGAAAATGACAAATAGATAAAGACAAAACAGAAAGTAGTTGTTGACTTCAATTGCATAATTTATCGATCAGATTACTATCATCTTGCAATTTTTATCAAATCGATTCAGTTTGGAACAACAGGACCTAGCAAGAACAATCTAATCTAATTGAATGGTTCAATGATCTTGAATTGAGAATCGCTTAACATTTACATGCTGATGAAAACAAATCTCAAATTCGAAAACATAAAGTTATATTTACCTTGTAAGAAATCAGCCATCTCAGCTAAATCCATGGAACGAAGTTTTGGCGAATCGCCGTTCCAGCTTTCCTCCGGGAACACCAAGCTATCTAACCCCCGTGATTTCCTAAACCGAGAGTTAAATTGGCTATCGGCGGCCGGAATCGCCGAATCCCCTTTCAGATCGATTTGTTGCGATACACCACGAAGTGGAGCCGGCAGAGACCTCGAATGCGGAGTAGATCTCATCAAAGCACCGTCGAGTTTCCATTCTCCTCCACTAATTTCTTCTTTTGTAACTAGTGATGTTCCAAATTGGGGGTTTAACGAACCATAAGAAGCTTCTAGATGTACCCAAACATCTTTGGCAGTTTTGTGGCCAATCGTGTTGGCGAGTACAGCTTCACTTAAGGAACCTAAAATCCATCCTCGGAGAAGCGCGTCGGACCTCCGCCACCACTGAGCGTTGTCCGGCTTAGTCTCCGGTGGTGGTTCGAGTGTACCGTCGATAAAACCGAGCATGTCATGACCTTCTAGGAGACAAAGCATCTGTGTTTTCCATATAGGGTAGTTGTCGTGGCCGGAAAGCTTAACGGAGATAAAAATGCTGACATTGACGGTGTGGGGATATGGGTATGCTGCTGCTGCTTCGTCTACCATACTAGAAGACGATGATTTGGTGGAAGCCATGATAATTTTCAAAGGTTTGTCTTTGAAAGTGATCTCATCTCTACCCCATTTATGCCCTACCAAATTCATATGTTAAACGTGTATTTGCAATTAGCGTAAATTACCGTTACATTTAGCGTAAATTACCGTTACAATTAGAGCATTTTTGAAACTATATAAAAGCAATTATTTAAAATAAACTAGAAAGGTAATTATGTAATGTAACGAGATAAATTTTGATTTTAATGTTTTGTTTTATTTCGTCCCTATAGATGTTTTAATATGGTTTTTATGTGGTTTTAAGAAATGGATAATGTATTTATTTTTGAATAAAATATAAATTTAAATATTATAAAATTTCAAAAATAAATATATCAATATTAATATCAAATTAACTATTTAAAAGTTTTTGTTTTTTTGTATAA